CTGCTTAGGACAAATGATGAAATCTTAACAGCAGCTAGAAATAAAAAACATTCCAGAGGAAGGGAAAACTGACAACAGACTTGTCAGAACCAGTGCAGCCCAGCAGATCATGCAGGAAAACAGCTTTCAGCATTAAAAGAAAAATGAGATGTCAACATCTTTCATGAAGATGAGAGTTGCACCTCGGGGAAGATGAAAGAGCACTTTTCCCTGTTCCTTCTGCCACACACAACAAAATCCTTGGACCTATATATTCAACAAACACGAAAGACACTGAAAGATAGTGAGAAAAAGAGACACACAAGGGACCTCAGGACACCGGCCATGTGCATCCAATAGTCCAGACTTGGAGCTGCAGAAGTCAGGAACCTGGGAACACCACCAAGTGCACAGAACAAAGCCCCTCAGAGAGCCTGCCTGTTCCATCCACCCAAAGGAGGAGGAAGGGGCAGCTCACTGTGACAGACAACTTTAGAAAAATTGTTGCACATCATCTCCTGTGTGTGTATGCATTTCCCCCAAATATTATACCTTTAACAGTCTTTGACTGCAGCTTTAAAAAGCTTTCTGGCTGGGAAGACACCGCTTCTCGCAATTCTCAGAGATGGGAATGGCTGAGCCAGGAGCGCAACTTTGCTCTGCACACTTAACAGTCCAGAACCGTGCTCCCTTCTATCTGGCCTGTACATCCCGGGGGCAGTGTTACTCTGCAGTAATTGGCCCATGCCCATGACCACCCCTGCGGCTCCCAGCCCAGCCCAGTAAAACTGTCAGAGCAGCCAGTGTAAATGATTTACCCTGCCCTCTTTTACCTGGCCTGTGGAGACCTCAAGAAATGCTCTGCCCTAATGCTTTCCTCTCATTCCTGTCTTCTACCTCTTGACCACTCTGGTGTCTTTCCCACATGGCCCTTGGTATGTAGCATGCCATATCCTGTCTCCAGGGCCAATAAATACACTAAAATGTATTTTTCTTTGGCCTCTCCTGTGCCTCCATCTGAAAACATTTCTGACTGATCACTGTGTAAAAGAACAGTCACATTCTGTGGAGCAGCTATGACTCCACCTCTGCCCATGCCTGCAGGGGCCAAGTGGAGAGCCTGGACGTCACTTGCCAGACTCTAAGGCACCATCCCACCCCCAGAATAGAGCTAGGGGAGGTGGGTTTGGAGCTGGCACTTTCCTCACCATGGGTGTAAGTCCCCTGCCTCAAGCAGGTGAAGCTATGTGGAGCCTGCACGTCCGCCCTCACCCAGTAACACAGAGGTTTCCCCTCTAGCCCACCCTGCAGGGTCCCAGTCAGGACTTGCCCTGTGGGAACAAAGCTTCTCCCACGGAGCGGCAGTGGGAACCCAGCAGAGTTACAACTTTCACCCTCACCCCACAGCAACAAGGGCTCCAAGCCCCACTTTGAGCCAATGGAGGCTGCGTGGAGGACCTGGGCTTCTACCTCAGCCTACCCTCACTTCCTCTGCCTGAGCAGTGATAGAAAAGCTGGTTAAGAGAGGTTAGATAAGACCCAGTGTCCCTAATATAATGCAGAGACACCAGGTTTCAAATGAAAAATCCTTCACTACACCAAGAACCAAAAATTCCTCAAATAAAAATTGTACCACTTCCTGACCTGGCTCTAAGTGTAAGGAGAAAAGAATATTTAAAACAATTATGACTTACGAGAGAGTAAAGAGACAAAAAGAGATAGTACTAAACTTCCCTCGAACTGCTAACATGACACTACCAGCAGACTGATAAATTATGTACGTATAATGCAATAGCTAGAGCAACACAAAGAGATACATTCAAAAACACTAGTAAAAATGGAATTCTAAAAAAATTCAAAGGCTGGGAATATAGCTCAGTGGTACAAGTGCCTGCCTGCTAAGCACAAGGTCCTGAGTTCAATTCCCAGTACCAAAAAATATA